TATACAATTTTTAATGAGTTTGTTAAAAATTTTGCCTTTTTAAAATTGAATTGTCATCCACTCCAAAAAACCCCCCGCCGGGGGGGGGGGTGGGGGAATTTCTGGGAGTTGAAGTCCACTCATCTTAAAGTGGCCAAGTTTGGACAACACTGTTTTAATCAGTGAAGCTGCAACAAACATTAAATCAAGTTAAACTACATTTGCTAAATAAAGTTATGATCCTTTCCCACGCATCTGATAATTTTCCTTTCCTAATCACATTAAAGATTAGAATTTTGGAGGGGCTTGGGAAAGTACATGTGGCCCTGGGACTTTGGCCTGTGCATCCTTGTTTAAAGCAGGGCCACGCAACTTTCATATGCTCAAGGCCCATCCCAGGCTTTGTGTGGTATATAACAAGCCACATTCCCAAATGGATGTGGCCAGGGCCTACTTGGGAAGAAAATTTCAAGGGTTTTAAGGGCTGAGATGGGTACCTGAAGAATCTGCAAGGCTTAAACATTTTACCTCAAACCCACTAACAATGCAAAAAGGGAGCAAAAATTTCACTTCATCCACTGAGGACCAAAACAGGAAGTAGACAGATTGCAAGTTCTGTACTCATTTAAAGCTTACAGAAGTCACAACTGAACAAGAAAATATGCATATAATTTAAGAAATCAGAAAAATGTCAAACATTCCTTACTAAAATCTGTTGTTAAAGTAGTCCTGTAACAATCAAATTGGGCAAGACACTAATTTATATAACAGACTAGTTGTGTAGAATACACAACTATTTATTCTGTATTTTTAACCTGATACTTCAGTAATAAAAAAAATACTCCTTTCTATCAGAAGTTATACTCTTGTAAATTGAATGCCTTCAGCAAACCCACTAAACCATGTGATTTGTTTGGTTTTGGCTTAGCATTTGAACTGTTTTTTTCCTGGTTAACCAAACCATGGCTTAACATATGAATCCATTCACTGGGCACATTCACATACAGGTCTTCTGAAGTCTGGCACTACTTGCAAATAAATGACCTACCCAGTAATCCAGCACCAGAAAATCAAAGTAATTCAGTCTTGCTCTGATTATATTGGAAACAGTCATTCTTACTAGTGTTCCAGCCATCTTTACTTCCCAAATTTTAAGGGGCTGCTTTGAACAATCTGCCTTCCCTCACCACCTTCTTGTTCCTCTCCTCCTGGATACTAGGAGTGGGAAGAGAAAGGGAAGCAGAGATGGCACAGGAAGAGATGCCCCAATTAGCAGCTTTGTGTCTAGTAGCCAGGATTATCTTCAAAGTAGCTTTCTTTTCCAGATACAGGTTACACAGACAGTCCCCGGTAAATTACCCAATAACAAATCCTAAATATAAAGCATGGCTAAGACATCCTACTTTAACCACATTTTGACCCAAGTTCAAGGTTCACAACATACCTTTCAATGACATGGCTTAGTGGTCGTGCAAACAAACATTTAAAAGGGTTTGTACCATATCCAAAGGTCGGGTTGCTCTTACCATAAGATTGGAACATTTAGGTTTTTCTTTTTTCTTGTGGTCTGATTTACCTTTTTTTTTCCAGACCAGATACAGCTTATAATTTTTTTATCTTATAATTTATAAATTCAATCATAGTGGTTGTCAATTACCATATAATCAACTGATTTTAATATTGATTTAACTTTGATTTCAACTTTCAAATTAATGTTAAGACATTTCAATATGTAAATTTATATCAATGTCATTTAGACGTTTGTGTTCAATTTTACAGTGCTTGTAAACTTCCACTTTATTTCTTTACAACTTTCTTTTTCTAAAACAAAATACAGCCACCATGCCCCTCCTTCCAGATCCTATTACCTGGCATTTAATGTGCACTTGAATCTAGAGGGTATATTATTTGGATTTCCTTGTTGGCAGCCATCTAAGTGAGTAGCCATCATCTCATCTTATAGCAACAAAGTCTACAAGTTGCATGCTATGTGAAGTAAAATTTCCTTTCACCTGTGCTCAATAACCAGCCAGTTTCATGATATAAACTCTTAGTTTATCATTATTTAAAACTAAAACTGCTTCTTTTTCACAGTCCTCTTGAAGTTGTTTTAAAACAAATTCTTACCTGTTATTTTAAATGCATAGATGCTGATATGGCATTTTAGAGGCTCCTTATTTTATATTATAACTGATTCTAATGCGTATCAATTGTTTTATTCCATGTCTCTCCTGCACTTATTTAAAAGTGCATAATAAAACTAGCAGAGTATTGAATGAAAGCTTGTAACTAATTTCTCCACTATCACAATCTCTTACTGTCATCTCATCATTCTTCCCTCTAAAATCCTTAGTCCCATAAACTTTTAAAGAAAAGGGAAATTGTTCCAGCCCTCTTGATAATTTTCACTGCCTTTTTCTGTAACAATTACAGATGAGGACAATCATCCATTTCCCATCCTGTCTTTCTGCATACTTAGATTGTTTCTGACATTCTAGTCATAAGGCAGATCTAGCAACATCTGAAGCATTTCCAGATGGGTTAACAGGTGTAAAGTAGATTCAACAAACCCAGCCGCTATAATTTTGTATTTTTCCCTCCGTTATTGTAGTACCTATCCTAGTTGGAGCCACTAATTGGAAGCAGAATCTTCCAGACATATGCATTAATGGCCCAAATCTATCTTTGCTCATATTTTCATTTTTTAAAACAAGGGAGCTGCTGATGGGCATTAAGCAGCACTTATCTACACTAATTCTGCAATCCTGTATGTTTACCTGAGAAAAAGTCTTACTAAATTTATTTCCAATCAGGTATGTATATGATTGCACCACAAGTGACATCTGGATAGAAAAAAAGTCCACCAGTAATTTGTGTTACATCTTTGAACCAAAGTTAAGGCAGTCGCTAGGTATGGATATTTTGTTCTTCACCACTACACCTACATAAGTGGTTAACACCAGGGAGGAACCATAATAGCTTATTTTCTACCTAAGGAGTTTTATCCATGTTGGTAATAACCAATCTTTCTAATTTGAATTCTGTCTTAAATAAAATCTGATGAGAGTAATATATATTTAAAAATGTCTCTCCAAAGCAGCAAACAATTCAGCTAAGAGAGAGATCCAGCTAACAAACTAAAAATAGCCCCAAAATGGTAGAAGGAAAAGGAGCAGCGAAAATTTAAAATAAGTGAGTAAAATAAATGGCTAAATGAGAATCTACAGCACTTTTCTCTTCAGGGATGCTGGACCCCAAATCCATCAAGTTACGCTGAGGATAATAGGAGTTGCAGTTGGGCATACCTAGGAGGCACTAGCTTGGGGAAACACTGGTTCACAGTTACCGGGGAAGGTTCCATTTTCTCCAATACTCCACTGCCTTGATCCAACTCCTTCCCCACGTAAAACTAAGAAGGCAGTGGTCCCTTCCCTATTCCTCTCTCCATTCATTCATTCATTCGTGAAGTCCCACGGAAGCTTTCTCCCACCTTCGCTACGGGACCTTCCCTTTCCCGTGCTCCCCAATTCCCACGCTCGCGTGGGTTTGCCTTCCAGCCGCGGCCGACAGAGACAGCGCGGCGCCTGCGACACCCGAGAGCGCAGACACCCGCACGAGCCCCTCCCCAGCACCAACCCGCGCCACGCCGCCCGTACAACGCTCCCAGCAGACGAGCAAGAGGGGGGAAACCGTACCCGCACGCGCGGCCACACCCCCTCCCGGCGCCTCGTCTCGGAAACAGCTCCCCCATTGGCTATAGCTCCAGCCAATAACGAGAGAGACTGGCTTTTGGCGGGAGGAATCATGGCTTTAAAAAAGAGCGAGGGGGAGAGAGTGGATAATGGGCGGGAAGTCAAATAGAGGCTGCTTTTTTTTTTTTTTTAAGCGCTCTCATTAGTCAAAGTTCCGCTTAGCAGCTCTACGTAGTGACGTGAGAAGGGAGGAATCAGTAGCAAAAGTGGGGGG